AAAATGAGAAAATCATACTTAATAACAATAAAAGAATGGTGCTATAGTAGAGTGATAAGCACCATAGAAAAGCCTAGGAGGAAATGAATAATTCTGTCTTCAGAGCAAGGTTTGAATGATGTACAGTAAACAGCCTAGGGCCACACTTCATTAAGAGAAAATGGAATATTGAATAACTGCCAGTTCAGTAAGCAGTAAGTAAGGCAGGGTGTCCAATGATAACATTAAAAAATATATAAATTTAATGGCTGAATCATAATGCATGTGCACAGAGAGGCCCATACAGGTTTGTATAGGCACCCTGAATTCTGGCATTACCTAGCTTTCAAGTGCTCTACTTCACAAGTTTGATAAGGTTCTTCTAAAGCTGTTTTTTGGAGGCCTTCATCATTTATATTATGGTAGCATCTGAGAGGCCCTGCCCCTAAGAAGGTCAGGGGCCTATCATGCTCAGCACTGAACAGACATAATAGGGATCCTGACTGTATTGGTCTATACAGACAAGGAAGTACTGTCATCCCCACTTTGCAGACATGGAATTGAGGCACAGAGAAATTAAGTGACTTGCTCAAGGTCACACAGGAAATCTTTGGCAGAGTTAGGTACTGCTCTTCAAGTACCAGGCCAGTGCCTTAAGCACACCATTATCCTTCCCTTTATGCATACTCTACCACACTCTTAATTTACTTTATGTGCATCTACATCTGGACAAAACATAGAAGATCCCTTTGTTTTTTTTAAACCCTGTTAGTAAACACAAGCTAAGTAACATATGGCAGAATCCAAGAATGGACTAAGTTTTAGATTTCAGGAGTGTCAGCAGGTAGAGGTGAAAGTTTTTTATCCTGGTAAGGACATGGCCACAGTGACCAACTGCTCTATGTCTAGCCATTGTAACAGACAGCCTGGGACTTTCTGTCACTTTATGAGAGAAGCAGCCCAGAGAGAGAGCACTGCAGGCTAGGCAGGTCAACTGCAACTAGTTGTCTAGTAACTGGGCAATGAGATTAGTTAGCAGGAACCTGCAGGCAGCGCAGGGTAGTCTCTTGACAGAAAGGGGCCAGGGCCCTGGGAGGCATATACGCTCAGGGCCCAAGCTAACAAGGTAGTCTAGCTCTGCAAGCTGCAGGGGTAGGAGCTCCTGGCCAGGGGAGGTACCAGGAAGTGCTAGATGGACTGGTATAAAGCCTTTGGACCCCCAGTGAGGCTTTGGGAGCTCACAGGAATATAACTCAGAGCTGGGAGTTTATCCTGGCACCAGAGGGGAGGGAAAGTTTTCCCTTTTAAGAGGCAGAGGGCTGTTTCCCCTTTTGTTGATGTTGCTAGGCCCAGAGGGGAGTGTTTTGTTATAGCCAAACAAAACACTTTTTGTTATAGGGGTGGTTATTGTTTGGGTTGCAGTTTTGAACCAGTGGTTTGGGTTGGGATTGTGAGGGGCAGTATTCAGAGGTCCCATTAGTACCCTAGGAGCATGCAGTCACCTTGAGCCATGCCAGGGGAAGGCTCAAGGCCTGAGCCTGGAGGAGGGCAGAGCGTGGGGCCACAGAACCAGACAGGGGCCAGGAGCCTGGCAGACAGGGGCCAGGTGCCTGAAAGGGCTAGACTAGAGTTGGTGGCTCAAAGCCAGGTCCAGTACAGTGGGCCCGGGCTAGAAGGCGTAGCTAGAGGAAAGGGGCAGAAGCTGAGGAGGCCGAAGCCCCAAGAGGAGAGAGTGACAATACAGCAACACCCACAAGACTTGGGGCGTGTTGTAGGGAAGGAACAGAGCCACAGAATTAGCACCTAGGGCTATAGGTGCCCTGCAATGGCACGGTCAGGCTGAGAGCACCCACCAAATCTGAGGGTATAGTTGAAACCAGTTGGACGCAGGGGAACCCCAGTGGGGATTCAGCTGGACTGGGGCCCACTCTAAGACCCATGGTCAGTCTCCCTTTTAATCCTATAATTACATCAAGTCATGGCAGGCAGAAGGCACCCTAGAGGCAGAGCAGTGCATGGTTGTGGAGCCGCCAGGGGTGTCACAGCCACCCCTAGGACCTTGACGTGCTACAGTCATATAACAGAAGAGAAATGCTTTAATTCTTGGTCTATATGCTATGCCTCTGGGTGTTCTGTGAATAGGGTAATGGTTCTGAACAGCACCACTAAAAATACATTATTACCATGCAAATAGAGAAAGTCCCTTTATGCCCTTCATATGATGGTGAAATCAGGACATTGCATCATAGAAAAACAGGACTGGGAAGGGTCCTCAGGATATCACCTTGTCCAACTCCCCACTCAAGGCAGGGTCATCCCCATCTCAATCATCACAGTCAAGTGTTTGTCTAACGTGCATGTTAAAATGTCCAGTGATGAAGACTCCACAACCTCTCTTCATAATCTGTTCCAATACTTTCTCTCATAGTTAAAAGAGTTCTTCCTAATATCCAATTTAAATTTCCCTTGTTATAATGTAACCCCATTACTATTTGTCCTATCCCCAGTAGACACAGAGCAGAACACAAATATTTATATAGCAGGTAGAATTCATATTGGTCAAACTGGCCACAATCTGCCTTTTTACTTGGCCTTATCTTATTATATAAGAGATGTCTGTTGAGAGCATGGCCTCAATTATTTTCTTAGATCTTCTGTCTCATTCTTCAATCGATCTTATTGACAAGATATGTTTTACTGTCCAATAGCTAAGCTATAAGTGTTATGTGCCTCTGGAAGATATTTATTTCAAGGACACTTGCCAAACATATTCACAGACACAAATATCGTAACCTGCTGCTCACCACTTGCCGAGTAGTGGGAAGGAAGATATTTCATTATCCAAACTGACAAACTGGAAAGAAGTCAAAGCAAAGAGGGGAAAAAAGGGCAAGAGTTGAGCGGATAAAGAGAGACAAATATGCTTAGCTTGGTTAAGCAAGAATCTCCCTTCCCACCCCAGCTCTGGACCCTATATGTCACTCCTGTGGTTTAGGGGATGTGAACAGTGCACAAAGGGGTGTGGGAGAATTTTCTTGGCAAAGCTACCATGTGTGGCCCCCAAAAGCAGCCTTCCACTGGCCTTGTGCTCAGCAAGTCTGGCATTGCTGGTATGTGCTGGGGTGAGCTTTTAGCCTACATTGCTAAACTGCTAAGGCTGTTGGGGTTTGAATCACCAACACTAAGCAATGCTTAGAAGACTTGTATAATGTGGACCTTGCACTTGGGTTCTATGAGCTATGTTTTCACCCAGGCAGCTGCTTGGAATTAAATAGCACAAAGGTGATTTAAAGCCATTTTTACTTGACCGGAGACCACAAGAAGAGTTCTGCAGTCTGTTAGAGATGACCATGTTCAGCTGCAGAAAGAAGCAGAGCTCTACAACCAGCTTGTGTCATGAAAGATTAAAAGAGCTGGGATAAGTTTATGGAGGGGATAGGATGAGCTTCAGTCAGGGTGTATGATGTGTGGAGCTGTCCCCAGGCTGCAGTGCAGAATGGAGGGCATTGGTTTTGCTCGTGTTTCTGAGCTTTACTGGTTGCTTCATGGGGCTAGGAAGGATTTTTTTTCTTTCCCATTGTTATGGGTGTCAGGATTTTTTGTTTGTTTGTTTTCTTGTCTTCATAAGCATTGTATGTCTGCCGGACTCCAAGCTGGGGATTTTGACTGTGGTATGCCACAGCTATTGCTGGGACTTAAAAACCCAGATGTTCCTGGCTGGGGGTGGGAGGTGGGGGTGGAGGAGCGGGGTCTTGGTCCTCCACCCAAGTCAGATAGATCATCACATTTGGATTCTGGAAGGAATTTTACCCATGGCTAGATCAGCATGGACTATGGGTTTTTTTGCTTTCCTCTGTAGTTGGGGACTGGAAGAGGGGACGCATAGTCCTCTTCCTTGTATTTAACAAACTATTTCTTGTCCTTGCAGTGGCAGCAGGGGTGACGCGTAGGGAGGGGGTGTATGTGGGTGCACATGCACTCCCTGAACATGGCAGTGCACCCCTACAAAAAGGCACTCTGACACTGCCAGCAGCACCTGTGGGTGGTCGCTGCTTACCACCCGCTGCTGACACCGCTGGCGGCATCTGCAGGCAGTCTGTGATTGCCGCTGGCTGTCGTCGATACTGCCAGTAGAGCCTGATGGTGGTCGCCAACCTGTGGTTGGCGACCAGTGGCGATGGCATCTGTGGGAGCTCCACGCTTACCGTTGCCATGCCCCCACTGCCGCCAACGCAGCCATGCCCCCCCCAGCCACTGGGGGCACACATCATTCATGAGTGGCAGGACATAAATAGTGTCCCCCTGCTTTACCTGTGGCAGGTTAGGGTGTTGTTGGAGTTTCAGGGCATAGTGCCTGGTAGTTGTGTGAGAGGGTTGTTCATGCAGTTCTAAGAATAAGATGGTTTAGATAGGGATGATGCTGTTTTGAGCAAGTGGTTGGATTAGATGACCTCCTGAGGTCCCTTCCAGCCCTACTATTCCATAATACTATGATTACTGTCCTGTCTGGGCTGTGCCATCCTTCTGAGAAGGCAAATTAGAAACACAGAATCATTTCCAGCAGTGTTCCCCCTCCCCCGGGCACGGAAGGCCAGCCTTCACACTGCAGCAATGTCAATGCATGAGATTTAAAAGCTTCACTGTTTCTAATTCAGGACAGAATCTGAACCCATGCTGATTTTACATCTGTGAGACTGCATTCAGTTCAGTCAAGCTACTCCTGATTTACTGGGGTGTAAGTGAGAGAAGAAATGGCACCAATACATTTCCTTCAGTAAAAGATCAGACCCTCTGTGTCTCATTTAAATTGCACAGTATGACCCTCAGGCACAGGCTGTCCCAAATGGGTGACAGTTCAAATGAATGAGACTGGGCATGGCTGTCAGAAGCTGTGAGGCTAAAGCTCCCCCTTGCCCCCCCATTTACTGAGCCACTGCATCATCTCCTAGAGCAAAGTATGTGCCCTCCTGTATTTACAGACTTACTGAGATGCGTCAAAAACCCCGGCGGAGACACTGAACTGCACAGCCTGCCACAGAAAGATTTACTGTCTCTTCAGCATATCAGGAGGGGAACAGAGCGGTGCATGTACACACGCGCACGGAGCCAGAAGAAGGCAAAATCGACCCCCAGCAGCGGGGCTGTCCTTCTGCTGCTGGATTTTTCCAGCTGAAGCATCTCATCCTCTCTGCTGTAATTTATGGAAATTGGCTTCTGACGTGGGGCTTTTTCTGCTCCAGTGGGGACCCGTTGGCTGGAGAAAGCAGAGCTGCAGTCAGGGCAGGAGAAGAGAGGGAGGAAGGGGGCTGGGGACTGGAAGAAAGCCAGGGTGGGGTGGGGGGAAGAAGTGTGAAAGGGGCACTTGGATACTACAGTGATGGGTGAGTTATAAACTAAGGCAGAGAGAAGGGAGAGGGAAAGCAGTCGCAGGGAGGCGACCCCTGAGTGACTCAGAGGAGAGCAGACAGGCCAGCCCAGGAAGACTGCCGTACTAAGAGGACCTGCCCCAGCTGGGATCTTCATCATGAGCACGAGGAAGGCTTCCACCCCACAAGCAGGGCCAGAAGATGGGGAAGAAGAGCCGAGTGAAGGTGCTCCAGATTTGGAGGGGAGGCAGCGTGAAGCAGAGCTGCGGGACAAAGCCATCCTGCAACAGAAGAGATGCCTGAAACAGGCCACCCAGTTTGTGCACAAGGACTCCGCCGACCTGCTGCCCTTGGACGGCTTGAAGCGCCTTGGAACGTCCAAGGATCTGGTGAGTCCCAGGGGCCCCAGCTTGGATGGGACCCTTCTCCTCATGATCCCAGGGAACCTCCCAGACTTGGGAAGAGACACAGGTCCAGGCAGGACAGGTTGATCATCAGTGTCACTATGGGGCCAGGATGGGTGAAGGGTGACAGAGGAGATGCTCTTGCTCCTGGTTTCCTGCTTCCCACCCATCCACACACAAAGCCAGTAAGAAGTAGAGGGTGCGAGGTTCCCCTGGGGTCCAGCTCCCAGCCCACATGGTATGAGCAGACATCGGCTCATCTGGATTCAGTATAAGTTTTACATGTGTTTGCATGGACTTACGCAGGACCGAGAGCTCATTCCCACATGATCTCACAGGAAAGCAGCCTCTCTTATCAGCAGGGCAGGAGGGGGACAGCAATCCTGAAGCCTTTGGGGCCTTGTGTTCTATCTCTTCACCTTCCTGCACCCCACAAGGGGGTTGGCACATCCTTGACTTTCCATGTGCCAGGCCACAGCTGGCAGCCCCCGCCCGGCCACCACTTTGTGGGAGATAAGCAGGAGCAAGGCCCTGGGGCAAGAGCATGGAGTGTGTGTTAGGAGGATTCACTCCAGACAGGGGTGAGCTGGGGGCCAGACATGGATGGCTTCCCTTTGGGGTGCATGACCAGGGCAGGGAGCGAGTTCCCAGGAGATCCTCTTTGTATTTTCCTCTTCCAGTTGCACCACTGGTCCCTCCCTTGAGGGAGACAGGATATGGGGCTGCCATCCCATTTTCCTGGCTTTGCCTCCAGCACCTCTCCCTTGCAGGCTCCAGGCCACACTGACAAACAGAGAAGGGTTCCCACAAAAAGCAAATGGAGTTGCCACAAGAAATGGGAGGTCCTGAAGTAGCCTGCTGTGGGTAGTGATGGGCCCCAGCTGGTGACAGCACCCTCTGGCCAGCACAGGGCACTATGTCAAAGACAAGATATACACTTCCAGGAACACCCCCGCCTCCAGAATGTTTCCTGCTCACATTTTAGTCCTTGTTGTACTAAGAGAAAGGGAAGTGGAATGGAGTGGGGCACGGTCTGGTGTGGTTTTACTTTGGGACCTGGGAGAAATAGGTCCCTGGACATACTGGACTGGAGAGAGATTAATTGTTTTGCTGATTTCTGAAACCGTTGGGTCTCTGTGCTGTCCCCACCTTAGATTCGGCAATGCTTCTGCTCTGGGTCCATCCCTGGTGACTCCTAGAACAGGCTGGGCCAGTGGCGAACGCATCTGTCCATGGTGTATACATTTGCCCCTATCTACCTCGGCATGCACTCTGCTTCAGCCACAGCTGCCAGTGTTGGAAACCCTGCCTGGCACCCCTGAATGCTGTCTCTATAGATGCATTTAAACAAGATGCCCCAGCCCTGCATTTGGCTCTGAGCAGCTGAAATTCCATCACTGGGCAGAGATGGGCTTGGCTCTTGGAGCCCATTTCAGCCCTGGATACGTGGGCTTGCAGCCTGCTGCTCAGGCTCAGCTGGGACCATTAATTTCTGCCCAGCTGTGTCTTTAACCAGCAACTCCACTACACTAAGCTCTGTTGGAGGGAGGCACAGATATGACCCAGTAACAGTGGGGTCTGACACCCCTGCCTTATGAGGCAGCAGGTTAATGGGACCAATTAAAACAAAAACCCCTAGAGATCCCACCCCAGGTGGCAGCTTATGGTGACTGGCGTTAGCTTGTCAGGGGATCAGCATTTTTTAACACCACGGGCCTCTTCACCTCCTCCTTTCTTGTAGGCCCTGTGTTCCTTTACTCTCAGTAGGGCTTGCCCTCAGACCCATTTGTACTGCTGTTTAGCCAGTCAGAGGTAGAAACTAGAGAAAATGCATCTTGGCCTTCCTCCCTGCCCCATGCATTTAGCCCTCCCCCACACCACATTTTACAGCATTCTAAATTATCAAGGTACCACCCCAGGCCTCTGCATGCACTGTCCTGAGCGCTGTGCAACCATATTGGAAGAGTTAGGTCATACCCTGTGAAATTTATAGTTAACTTAAAGCTGTAGTTGGAGCCTCAAATATGGAAACTGGCCTAGTTAAGAGACTCTGTTTGGTTAAGAGGCTCAGTCTGTTCGGTTATTTAAACAGGTGCTAGAATTACCTAGTGTCAGCAAACAACATAAGGCCTTTTTTTTCCCCTGGTTGTTAATTGTTTATGCCCTGGCCCTGATTAGTTACTTCAGTCATGTGTTACTGTTTAACATCCCCAGGTGAATGACTGAATATTTTTTAAAACAACTTAGCAATGACTAGGGCATAAAGCCTATCAAGTTTCCTGACAGGAAGTGTTTAGGGACAGAAGTTACACATAAATTGGTTTAAGTCAGCAGAAACTAGTTTAAACCTGTAACAGAACGCAAGTTCAGTGCACGTAAGCCAGTTTCAAAGTGTCTGAAACTGGTTTAAGATAAACCTGGTTGAATGTAGTATCAGACTTAACTGATTTGGGTCAAAGTGGTTTATGAAATTTCTGTCCTATGCCGCTTCCTGGTTCAAGTTCAGTCAAAGCCCCTCACCATCCCAGTGTGCTTTCCAGCCCTGGGCTGGGCTGGGCTGTCTGGTCCAGCAGAGAAGGGTTGGGAGGGAAGACAAGGACTGCCCCCCCTCCAGGCAAACCCCGGCTGAGATCTGAGGCCAGGGTGGGGGGGTTAAACTTCCCTTTCCCCTAGTACAGAGCTGCCCTGCCCTGCTAAAAACTGTCTGCAACTGGGGACCACAAATCCCAGAGACACCTGAAAGCAGGAAGAAGAAGTAATGAGCAACCCTGCAGAGTCCTGCTGATGTGATTCTGGACTACAAATCCCAAAGACCTCGGGGGCAACAGAAAGAAGTAAACACACAGCCCATGCTGGCTATGTGCCAGAGAACTGTTCTTTAGCGCCCCCCCCAGCTTCTGGTCTGAGCTACTGCAGGTATGTGGGGCTGCATTTTCTAAATCAAAAGTGAATGCCTATCAAGTTGTTTCTCAGTTTAATCTCTGCAGTTTAGACTAGCCTGCAAAGACTGAAACCAATTCAGCCTTGGACTTTTTGATTGTCTGTACTTAGCCTTTGTGTTTGTATGACACTTAAATGTACACAGTCAAAAAGCCTGAGGCTGAATTGGTTCAATCTTTGCAGGTTAGTCTAAGCTGTGTAGATTGAATCGATAAGCAAGTGAAAAGACATTCACTTTTGATTCCAGAAATGTAGCTACATGCCTGCAGTGGCCCAGGCCAGAAGCCAGGGAACATTAGAGCATGCCTTCTTTTTTTGCTGAAGCAAACAGCTTGGGCAGGGCTAGCCCACCCACTCTGTGATGGAAGGTACAAAGCATCTTGGGATTCTGGGAGACTGTGAGTTAACTTGAATCTAGAGGGGATCTAGGACAGGAAGTTCAATAAACCATTTTAACCTAAATCAATTTTAAGTCTGATACCACATCCATACAGGTTTATTTTAAGCCAGTTTTGGCCATTTTGAAAGTGGTTTATGTGCACTGAACTTCTGTTGTGTTACGGATTTGAACTGCAATTTCTGTCCCTTAATGAAGCTGCTGGATTCCTGGAGGTTATCACAGCCAGCTGTTGTGCAAATATGCAGTGTACAATGCAATCCCCATTAGCACCTCCAGAGGTGAGCTCACTTTGTTCATGAACACTGTCATGGCTCCTCTTCTTTCAGTCAGCTCCATGGTCTACTTCTCCCCTCACTGGTTCTTGTTTCTTGCTGGTGAAATTGCATAAACTTCACTGGAGGTACTCTATGCTGGAGTGAGAGGAGAACCATTCTTATGGCCTGCCTGCATGAGACTAGCCAGTATGGTATGAATTCACCCACTCACGCACTGAGTGCTAACTCTTGTTTGTACACTCTTAACATGTGCTAAGGGTGAGATAGCATACTCCATGGGCTAATCACATCTATATGAGGACTCAGTACAGAGTGGTTAGCACGCTACAGAGTCGCACCTCAGTTCCCTGTGTCCCAACTTCTCACCACAGAGAAGCCCTTAGATTTCCAGGAGTAACATAATACATACAGTGACTCCTTGTACTCAATATGTGTTTCCTGGCTGGAAGCTGGCACTGTGCATTGAGCTTAGTAGGTTGTCACAGTAGCACAAGCAAGTAAAGCAACCCTAGCTCTTTGACAGCACTTTTCCTCTGCAGATCTGGGTCACTGCTCCCATTTTACAGATGTGGGAAAGTGTAGCAGAGAAAAGTGAGAGGACTGGCTTGAGGATATTCAACCAGCTGATGGCAGAGGCAGGAATCCCAAGTCCACCAAGTCTGAACCACCCAGACCATCTAGAATTCCATCTGCCAGCCTGCCTCCCTCCTGTAAAGGGCAGCAAGGCACAGCAGAGCTCCTTCCACATCACAGCCATTTAACAAAAGCAGCAGGGATGTGTCCTAGATATTCTTCAGGGAAGAATCTGTTCCTTTAGCCACATTCTAGCTGTATGCAGTGCACCGTCTCTCTCAAATTCCTTTAGTCTAGATCTCTCCTGAATCACAGAGATCAGACAAGCAGCCAGAGAAAGACTGAAAGCAAAATTGCAACTCAGGGAGTCCTGCAGGGGTAGATCTTCCCCTGGTGAGTCTGAGAGGTATTGCTGGACTACTGAGTGCACACTGGGATGCTAGTTTGCCTGCACCCCAAGATGCATCTCCCCGTGTATAAATACTAGGGGTCACTGTAATGCCAGCCCTAAAAGTCATGAGTCGGGGTCTCCCAAATCCTGAGGTTAGCTTACAAATCCTGAAGTTAGCTTACAAATCCTGAAGATTTCCTTTCCTAATGTCAGGTGAATTTTCTTTGCTTTCTAGGGTAAAGTCATGAGAGTTGAGCACACCTTTTTTTTTTACAGTCACTCTAAGAAATGGAGTGGTTTTACTACTCGAGGCAACATTGCAAGATCTCAGATTTCTAAGCCTGGGAGCTGGTGAGATAAGGAAAAGAAAAGAGAGATTTCACACATTTCAACCTCCACTGGGTGGTCAGGAGCAGCTCTGATTGCTCCCAGAGGGAACCTGTTCTGGCCTCCCCAGGCTCAGGAAATTTCTGTGACTGGGACTTTTTCCTTCCCTTGCTGTGCTCACCACATCTCTCTCAGTTCCCATCTCAGCACCTGCTGCATTGCATGGGCTGCCTCATTGCCATCTCCTTGCGACCCAAGATACAGGGAGAAAGATGTTTTCTGCTCTCAGGGAATATACCCATATTAAAGCTCAGCTCTCCACCTCAGAGCTTAGGCCCTCTCCCACTCTCAATGAGAAGGTAGCTGGTGGCAACTGTGTCTTTCTGTGGGAAAGGCCCCCTTAAGAGAAGGTAAAGCCCATTGCATGCTAGGAGCAAATGGAAAAGGAAGGAGACCTATTATTCTTGGCCCCCTGCCATTTTCCCATGGCCCAGATCTTAGCTGGCAGCCTCAATGGCATTGAGTTCAAAGTATTTAGGGAATAAAAATACTTTCCCTAAATAAAATATCCTCTGGGCTTTAAACTGGGGTGGGGAGGAGAGAAGAGAGTTATTACTTAAATACTTTGAACTTATATGGTGTCTTCCATCCCAAAACACTTCACAAAATTATGGCACAGCTGGGCAGCCAGAGACACCATGGGGTTAAGTGGCTTGCCCTGGGCTGGGAACAGGAAGCAGGTTCTCAGCTAGAACCAGGAGGGAGAAAAAAAACCGCTAGGAACCTGAAGGCAACATGAAAAGTGGAAGGCTTACAAAGTCTTTTTTACAAGATGAAGTATAAGACCAACATACAGGATATAACCTTTGTGTGGGAACCACCATGTCTTGTCCCTTTAGGTTGATGGATTACAGGGTCTTTTTGTCCCGGATGCAAGAAGCCCCCAGGCTCAAACCATGCTCCCTCAGGAAATTGGGCACTTCAGGAAGGTGATACAGCTCACATTGACTGGTTGGATCTAGCAGCCCTTCCCACTCAAGACAGCTATTATGGAGATCACAATTATCAGCTCTGAGCCACCAGCTCTCCAGCTCTGTAGTGACCAGCGTATGGGGACCAGGCAGAACCAGACACACAGGCCTGATTTTTTGTCTCCTTCCCTCCTCTCACTTGCACAGGGGCTGGGAAACAGCTGGGGAAGGACCTTCACATTCCCTTGGTAGCAGAACAAGTTTCCTGTAGGCAGCAGCAGTCTCCTCCTGTATCAGGATTAAGTGCTGCAGGACAGGCAGGTCTGTCTTACTCCCACCTACCCACTCAGAAGCAGAGGAAGAAGTTGCCCCTGCGTTGCGAGGAAGGATTAAGGATGAATGTGCTGCAATTGGCTTGGTTATTGCTGCTCTGAAACAAGACAGCTCTTGGAGGAGAAGCAGCAGCCGGCAAGGGGAGCGTTTTTTGCTGGGCAGCAAGTGAAACACATTAAAAACTTAATAGTGAACTGGGGGGGAGGGGGGGTCCATATTCCCCTCCAGGTTCACTATTCTATCCTATTGCAGCCTGTGTGCTGCTTCACTAGCTATGCATGTTCCCCTCTGCACAGTATTGCAAGAATGCCTGAGGCTGCATGCTAGGGGATCCATGCGAGAACAAGCGGGCACAATCCTGTGTCTGACTGACTGAGGGGACAGGAGGGTATGTGGAGGGGAACCGTGAATCAGACACTGTTGTCTCTTCTAGCCATTGCATTACAGAGTGTCTCTGCAGAGACAAGGCCACGTGAGGGAGGACAGGGCACAGGCAGACAATTGACTACATTTAACATTAAAGCAGGGACTGCTTGCCCTGGTGTTGACAGTGGAACTGAACCACAGGGAGATGGTGCTGGAAGGAAGAAGTGGGTATAGCAGGAGGGAAAGGACTGAGGAAGACTTTCAAGCCCTATGTCTCCCCAAAAGCAGAAAGGTAGGCTGTGTCTGAAGAGTGGCGATAAGGTCTCAACATTTTGGGTCAACATTTCCTGAGATCCTCTCTTCCTCTCTTTGTGGTGGAGACCAGCAGCCACACAGTGTGATACAGCGGCGCCTCCTGGAAGGGAATTTGAACAGGCTGCGGGGTGAAAGCAGGGAACACGCCACCTGGGTGCAGTCCCCGCTGGCAACAGACAAGGCAGAAAAGAAAGGGGAGGACAGGAGGAAAGAGCCAACCATTCTGCTCGTACACTGCAAGGTAAGGTCTAGCTGCAACTGCAGGGTGCCAATGTTATGGAGGGAGAATACCAGCTCAGTCCCACGTTCTCTTCTCCCAAGGGTGGATGCAGGATGGTACTTGCAGACTTGTCTTGAGCGCTCTGCTGTCCAGCTCACTCAGCTCTGGACAAGAGCTGTTACTCATGTTCTTTCCTGCTGTTCCTCCCTGCTTTTTCTACATGTGTTGTATAGTTGTTGCCAGTTCAGATCAGTCCCAGGGACAAGCCTGTATCCAGTGTGGGCCTTGGCCTTGGACCAGATCTGAACTCCTCTTTGTTGCTCTCTCATTTATTTTCCTCCTCATGCTTCTGCTTGACTCTAGGCAGACAAGATTCTTTTGTTATCTTCTGTGTTTCAGGGGTATAGGTTGTAGCCTGACTTGACTCTGTAATTCACAGTTAGTAAGAATCAACACTATTTTGGTTTCTCTTGGGGAGCTGGGGCCTCCCCTCTCTTTTATTGTTGCCTGCTATCAGTGAGTGGTCAGACTGTCTCTTTATTTGAGGGAACCCACAAGCCTTGATTAACAACACTTGAAGGCTGAACAGAGAAGATCAGCGAACTCACTGCTTCCCTCAGCTCTAGTTGCCTGATGCAGGTATAGCTTGTTCCTGGTTCTGCCTCCATTCAGGTTGACACATTAGAGTGGGCAGATAACGTCTGTTTTGTTACAGACAAATTCCTTGCCTCATCCACTTAGAGTTGGATTAGAAAGCTGTTTGTGTGGCCACTTGGGAATCTCCTGTGTATCTTGAAGGCAAGAAAGATTGAGTGTTATAAAGCATGCCCAAGGCTATATTTAATGAGGCTCTCCTGGGCTTTAAGAAGGGATATGCACCCTTGTTCAGCAAAGCACTTACCCGCACTATCAAGCTCAGTTATTTTTATAAAAGATCATAAGACCAGAAGCAGCCATTATGATCAGCCTGTCTGACTTCCAGCATAGCACAAGTATTAGCTGTATTCATATTGTAGCATAAAGAAACAGCTCCTGCTCCAAAATTTTTCAGCCTAGCTGTCAGCTTTATAAAAGCAGTCGGAAGTAGGATTTAGCTGACCTGCAGTTTGACAGTGGCCTAGTCTTATTGTTTAGAGCCAGATTTTGAAGGGCCCAATTTTCAGTTTCTCGGGACCTGCAACCAGAACTGGATTTCCAAAAGGAGTTAAAACTTCCCTTTGACACTTGAGCAAGCACCAGGTCTTCTGGGGAACGCTGAACTCTTAGCAAGCTGACTCTGGTTATGGATACTCTGGTCTTGGGAGCTCATGTTCAGAGGCCCTGACCTCTGGCTTGTTAACTTCTGTTGAACTTGTGAGTGTGTACTACTTTAGTCAATGAAGCCTCTGTTGGCCTTTTGCAGCCTTGCAGGATATCCGTACCCTGTTTTACTCTCACTCTTATTTTTTTAGGCAAACACATGCTGCTCTCAGTCTTGAACAGTGAAATTGTGTTTGTTTCAATGTCTCTTTAAGTAAGACTCTCACATCCATTATTATATTTGGGGAGGGTGGAAGGAAGAGTGGAACAAGTGGGTTTATTCCACAGCCAAACAGAACAGCCTTTCTTGTATCACCATTTTCTAATATTTGGCTTCAAGTCTTTCTATGGACTGGCTTTTTACGACTAGTCTCTCCCTATCCTCTGCTTGGGTATTTGCTTTGGAAGAGCAAAGGAGTTTACTTCATCATTCATTAGTGTCTCATTTTCCTGGCGATATATTCTCTTGCAATATTAGGTGCTCCCAGAACTTAAGGCAGCATCCACATATGTGAGAAGCAGCAATTTCTCCCCCTCCCAACCTGTGCCACCTCAGTGACTTGCAACTAACCAGATCTTCATGCAATTTTTTCAGAGGACAAAGTACATCCTAAAAAAACAAAACCCCAAACGGAAAAAGGCCAGTTTCACACTGAATTATACACTTAGCCTCACTTAGTAAGGTCTTTCTTTGCAAATAATTCCAGAAACAAGTAGGTCACCTTGACAATAGCACACTTGGCAACCATCAGAAACACTGCAACAAGTCCTAAAGGTGCACGTGTGTCTGGCAAGCCCTTTACATTTGTTAAGTACTATGTACCTGGTAAAATAGTGATTCTAGTAGCTTAACAGAAGTGGGCCCTGTAGCTGAAGTCCATTTTAAGCCAAATGTCACTAACTAGTCTCCAAATTCTCTAGTGCCCTAAAATTAAGGCCAGACTAAAATATATAAATGTATATCCAATTAGGATGCAGGGTTTTTTCCTGCAAAAGGTTGGACCCAAGCAACTTGGAACCATGCAAGTTACATAACTAGGAAAAAAATGGACATCAGCATTATTACAGATTCTTGGCCCTCAGCTACACTGGATTATGTAACTGTACTACAAAGGCTACCGGTAGGACTATTTTTGCAACCTTTTGCCCCGTGCAAGCTACAGCTTATGTTGTTGTATGACCCACCAGTAACAGGAACCATCAAAAGCAATGGTTTGATGAACAGGATGCTACTAAATCCTTTAATCAGTTCTCTTTGGCCACAACCAGGGAATTTCCTACCCAAAGACCACATTGTGCTGCTGGGTATTACCTTTCGCCTCTTCTCTGGAGTAGCTTTTTCATTTAGGCAGCAGTCCTTTCTCTGTGGGGTCTCTCTTCCCCTCTCAACTCAGAGAAGCAGATCTATACCTGCCCCCCCAGCCTTTTTTTTTTTTTTTTTTATAAATATGCATCAAAGCCCACCCACTTGTGGACTGCTTGAATTTTTATTTGAGTCTAATTTGCATAAAGTGAATTTTTCTACCCAGGGGAATCTATAACATCTTTTTATTCTCCTGTACAATATGAAGTTTCATTTCTACCTGGGAGAAATGTTACAATGTGTGCATTCTCCTTAGCCTGAGGAACAGTGTGAGCCTAAAAGCTTGCAAATAAAGATTTTATTTTTTTTTGCAACTATTTAGTTGGTCTAATAAAAAATATTACCTCTGCCAAGAGTTCTGCATATCTTTTTGCCTGTAGACCAACATGGCTAAAATCTGGAGACATCTGTTAAGCCAAGGTGGAACCAAGCCCCACTGAAACCAGTCTAATCTGTAACAAGTCACAGTATGAGTTTTCCTAGAAGTCCCAGATACTGCAGCCACTTCACAGCAGCAGCTTTGAGCAATAAAGGTTATATCTCCTATTCCCACCTTAAAAAAAAAAGACAGGAACACTTTGTCTAATAGGTTAGCACGAGTCAGCCACCACCAAAAGAGCACATAGGAACACAAGTCAAAGGGATGTAGAGAACAGTCTTTAGAAATAGGTGCATAAGCATCATCCACAGCCAAAGTCTTTTAAACCCACTTCCTCCTAAAGTCCTGTACCACTTCAGCAAGTCCAAAGTCTCCTCAGGAGAGAGGCCCAGCCCTTTGCCAAGTACCATATCCTTTTTTCCCCTGGAAACATTACCTTTTCTCTTCCTCCCCTCCAGCACTTCACCTGTCACAAGTTCTTCACCTGTTACATCTTTCCCATTACAGCTTTCTTATATGTTACTTATTCTTCCCATTTCCAGCTGCCTCTGGGAAGATTAATAGTTAACTTGAAACCAGTTGTTGGGGATTACATTTTACTCTGCTACAAACCAAAGGCAAAAACATGCACTTTTTTCTTGCTTCTGCAACTTTTCAGGAATAAAAACATCTTTGTCTGTCAAAGCTTGTTGCAACTGTGTTGGAAGGCCAGAGAAATGCTTGCTGCTAGCTGTGATGCAGTTCTTAAGAGAGACTGAACATACATGTCCTTAGTAAAGTCTCTTCCCTGTCAGTATCTCTCAGAGTGAAAATATTTCCTCTTCTTAAAGCTGCTCCAAACCAGCAAGCTGGATATTGTAAGATGGTGACATGGGTTGGCACTTAACTACAGTCCTTGCCTCATGCTAGGAAACAGGGCTGAATGTAGATAGTCATTGATAATTAGTATGTAGGGAACCTTGCTCTCCCTTCATTTTTCTTCTCATGCAACTTGCAGTTAAGTTGCACTCAGGGCTTTGGTTGGCATGAGATCACAGAGAGTGGCCAGGGGGTGGTATTTCTGCTGCAGAGTGATTCTGCTCCTGTTTATTTGATTTATGCTAAATCTTTACGCAGGCCTTTATCTCCATGCCCTTTTTTTTTTATCCCCATTGTTCGCAATCTGCAGCTTTGCAAAGCATTTAGGAAAGTCAGTCACATGACTGGTATCTGCACAGTGAAAGAAGGATATTATATCTGCAATGAGGCTGGGTTGTTGTTCACTTAGAAATGGATGCCGATGGATCCCACAGACTGAGGCAGCTTTTTTTCTGGGCTGAGTTTGTGTTACAGCTGCTTGGCTGGCTGGCCAAAACTGACAGGATTTAGAACATACAGCTCTTTTTAAGTGATGCTTCTTAGAAAAGTCCTTCTCTTTTCCCTCTGCTGGAAACTGGAATCAGAAATCCTGCATACATACAAATGGGATCTGATACTTCCAGATTTATAGGGGTAGTACAATGAACGCTGCCTGAGTCTAGTGGAGCTTGAAACCACTGTCTACTGTTTCATAGATTTCATAGACATCAGGGCTGGAAGGGACCTCGGAAGATCATCGAGTCCAGCTCCCCGCCCAAAGGGCAGGAAGTCAGCTGGGTTCATAGGATCCCAGCAAGATAAGCATCCAGTTTCATCTTGAAGGTGTTCAATGAAGGCGCTTGAACCACCTCCGGTGGCAGGCTGTTCCAGACCTTGGGGGCTTGGACAGTAAAGAAGTTCTTCCTTATGTCCAGCCTGAAACGATCTTGAAGTAGTTTGTGACCATTCGACCTCGTCATCCCTTGGGGCGCTCTGGTGAACAAACGTTCCCCCAGATGCTGGTGGTCACCCCTGATAAACTTGTAGGTGGCCATCAGATCACCCCTGAGCCTGCGCTTTTTCAGGCTAAAGAGCCCCAGGGCTCTCAGCCTGTCATCGTAGGGTCTGCTTCCCTGACCTCTG